CTGCCTCCCCGGGCTGCGTGCCACCCGGTGCTGACCCCGCCCTGTGCCCAGGCGGACTGCCCAGCCGGCTGCAGTGCGTGAACATCTCGGTGGCGCCCCAGGAGGTCTGCAGCGAGGTCTACGACTCCGTGTACCACTACAGCATGTTCTGCGCCGGCGGAGGGCCCAACCGCAGGGACTCCTGCCACGTGAGCCGGGGGAAACGCAGGGCCACGCTGTGGGAACCAGACGGCCCGAGATCGGAAGAGCGGACAGGCAGTACAGAGTGGGGAGACGGAAGGGAGAAACAGAGCTCGAGAGAGGCAGAGACACAGAGACCGAGAGAGACGCAGACAGGGGCAGACCTGAGAGAAACAGCAGGTGTGATCAAAACACAGAGTAGCCACACTTTATAAAAGTAGTACAGCAAAAGACATACTGCCTTTAATCCTCCTCAAAATGCTACCCTCACTTCCAACACGCTATCCCATGTTCTTGCCTCTCTTTCTTTTGCTTTCTTTTTCAGTACTGGGGATCAATCGAACTCAGGACCTTGCATTTTCCAGGCAGGAGCGGCACCACTGAGCTGCACCCCAACCCTCTGTCCCTTTCCGAAGCAGCTCTGGAAGCTTTCTTTCCTGAGCCTCTTTAGTTTCACTGTCATGATTGCCTCGGTGTCCTGAATGGATTCAAAACATTTACCTTTCGTGGTCATTTTGGTTTGGGGAAGAGGCAGAAGTCTCACAGTGCCAGATCAGGTGAATGAGGTGGGTGAGGTCACAGCGTCATGCTTTTAGGAGCCACCCTTTGGGTTGGATGGCGTGCAACAGCCGCATTCACCATGTTTTTGATCACATCTTCTGAAGACACTCATGAAAGGACTTCCGGAGCTGCTTCAGGAGCTGCAGGCATTGGGATGGGTGCTCAAAGCGAGGGGTTTAATGCCAATGTGCTTTTACTGTTAGAAGTTTTCTTTTTTATTTAAGCATTCACTGTAAAATCGATCACCTCTCATAGACAGACTTACAGAGACACAAGGAGAAATAGGAAAACTCAGAAGGCACAGAAAGACAAGCCATAGAAGGAGACAAAGGACAGACAGACACAGACTAAGCACAAACCCAGAGGAAGCCACCAGCTATAAAGGCGCAGGGGAGAAGGGTCTGGCTTGGGACGTCCAGGACTGGGCTGTGGTTTCTCTCTTTGGTTCCTCTCTGACCCCACATCGACCTGCTTTCAGGGCTTTGGATTCTGATTCTTTCTCTCTCCAAACAGGGTGACTCTGGGGGGCCCTTGGTCTGCAATAGGTCCCTGCAGGGCCTCGTGTCCTTGGGGCACATCCCGTGTGGCCAGCCTGGCTCACCGAGCGTCTACACCAACCTCTGCAAATTCACTGACTGGATACAGCAAACCATCTCCACCAGTTAGCCATGCAGACCGGGAACCGGGGAGCTGGCGGTGAAGCTGATGCATCCAGCCAGGGAATTCAGAACTCCAGGCTCCCAGCTCCTCGGCCCTCGCTGGAGTCAGACCCTCACATCATTTCTCATAATATTCACTCAGCCTTTAAGGGTTTTTACCCTTTATCCTCTTCCTCAAGATCCAGAAATAAAGTGTGAGAAAAGTACAGCTTCTGTTCCAAGTGCCATCCTTGTTTTCTTTCCCACGCAAGGTATCCTGGCAAATAGGTTTTCCTCCTAGGACCTGGATTTCCCATCCGGGAAGTGGACATTTCCCCCAGGAGGCCACAGGGTATAGAGAGAGAGCTGCCCTTGCCTGGGGGGTCAAGAGAAACCAGCTCTGTGGGTGTTACTGGGTTTCTGAAAAGTCAAGTCGGGAAGTTATGAATTCACAGAATTTTCTCCCTGAGGTTCACTACTCTGCTATGAGATGGACCTATTTTCATTTTTGTCTTGTTGAAGCAACTTTAAGGATGTTTCATCTCTGTCTGCCTCAAGACCCTGGTGCTATCGTTGGAGAATGAAGACAGAATGGTAGACAGGGTTACGAATGAGAAGGGGGAGGACCCAGGTCCAGGGATAACAGGGTTCCTATCAGACTCTTCACTGGTGAATTCTACCAGTCAGGATGTACCCGTGAGGATTTATAGTCTAGAATATATTTATGAGGTTAGTATTTGTGAACTATACATCAGGACACAGTCAAATTTTTATGTATCTTTTAATAGATCCTCAGATATATAAAGAGGTGCAACACTTTAAACTCAACAAATTCTGACTCATAAAAAGATTTTAACAGTGGCCTGTAGAGAACAGAACAAACAAGATAAACTTGTACAAAAGGACTGAGGATGTATCTCAGCAGGGGACCAACAGCCTGTACGCACAAGGCCTGGGTTTCATCCCTACCACCAAAGAGACAGAAGGAGGGAGAGAGAAAGATCAGTAAGGATGTTGATGATTTGGGCATGCTGATCAGCCTTTGCCTAGGGGGCATCTCTAGAACTGTATCTGTAGAATACAGAATCTCATCAACACGTACACAAAATGCCCAGCAGCAAATACTGGTTATACAGTGTAATGAAAATGTTTAAATTAAAAATCTTTAAAGTTTACTACCGTAAAAGACATCAGCACTAATTCCCTTCAAAGTACCCCCCCGGCCTTGAACATACTCATCCCACCCTCATGGCTACTTTCTGAAGCCGTTCTGGAAATCCTCTTTCGTGGGTGTCTTTTCATGGCTGCCTCAATATTTACGGCAATTTCCATCAAATAAAAACATTATGAGAATCAAGGCTTGTCATGTAGAGGTACAAGATCCCAAAATGAATGTAACTGTACCAATAAACTCAATTAAAGCTGAAAAGAAAAAAAACATTATGGGCCAGGGATTTAGCTCATCGGTTCCGCCACCTGCCTTGCAAGCACAAAGACCCAAGTTTGATCCCCGGTACCAAAAAAAAAAAACAAAAAACCATTATGCTGTCCTCACCCACTTTATTCACCAAATCTGTCACTGTGCAACTTCTGCCTCTTCCCCAAAGTCAAAATGAATCATGGAGGTAAATGTTTTGAAGCAATTCAAGACACTGAGGTTGCCACACAGCACAACTAAGCAAGGTGATATTTTGAGGGGTACTAGTGACACTGCATCTTTCATTGTAATAAAATTTTTCAAGTTTAAGCATTCACTGTATGTATATATATATATATAT